AGACACCGAGGCCGCCAGAATGAAGCCAGTTAGTTGTTTAAAAAGCTGCATTTATCAAAATCAGCATCGAATATTTGCTCTTTGGTTCGTGATGTCCAGTGGCAGCAGCTTACTCAAAGGTGTGAAGCAGCAGCGACGCTGCGACGCGTGATGGCGGTGAACTGGGCGGTCGGCGATGGTTGTGTTGGGCCGAGCAGCACCTGCCATAAACGACTTGAGGATAAAAGAGTCCGAGTTTCTGTTCATGGATGTGTTTCAGTCCCGCTCTTTCTTTACTGAGACAGGCAAGCTCTAGTCAGACTTCTCAAGTAAGTTCCTTACACACCTTGGAGAAAAAACTGCGGGGTCTGACGTGCTCTGGAAGGTACTGGTGAGGCTGCTGAAAAGCTCAGGGTGTGATTGTTACGTGTGTTGTGTGTGTGCGTGTGCACACACGTGTATATGGACACGACCGCTTTTCCGTGCCGTCCGACACTTGTGCCAGACGACTGGAGCAAGAGCACTGCTCTCAGGGAGCAGGACGTGTTCTCCTGCCTTTGCTTCTCCTAGTAAGCACCACGGTGCCCTGGGAAGAGGTGCAGGACGGAGCCGTAGTCGCTCTTTTGTCCCAAGGACAGGCAGATGTCGGAACTGCCAACAGACCCTGTACCTGTTTCTTCCAGGATTGAAAAGGATGCAGGAAAGCTGTTTGGCAACATTTCCTCCTGCTCAACGTCCTCCGTTACGGAGCAGAACTAAGGCGTTTCTGGCCCTGGCAGAATGTTTCTGCGAGCGCTGGGTCCGAGCTGTGATAAGGTGCCTCTGCAATGAGAAGGACCTTTTCTGGGAGCTGAGCAGCTCCAGGAACCACCCGGCCTCTCGCCAAGGCTATCGGGCACCTGCCCATCAATACCATTCGTGCATTTTGCTGGGGAGGGTGTAATGAAGATGGTTACAGAGCTATTGTAAACATTTTAATGGACACCTGGATGAATTCAAAACGTTTCCTTGTAGAAGACACTGGTCTGCATGTTACTTGTGTGTTTGTGTGACCCAGGCACCTCGGCACTGCGTCAGGCTCCTCAGACAGCTGCTTTCTAGGGAGCACATTGCCCAGGGTGAGGTGCAGTGATGTCTCAGCAGCTGCACGTTTGCCCTTTAGGAGAGGAAGTAGATGTACAAAACCTGTAAGAAAGCAAACATCAGAACTTCTGCAGCATTAGTGCGTGGTTTCAGAAGAAATGAAAATATTGAGCTTTATTTCCTGTTCTAGTTTTCTATTCTAGTTTTGTTGCAAATATGATTCTAGTAGTTGTAGAAAGTACTTTGGAAATACACTTCTGAAATATATAAATACAGTATTCATTAAGTGAACTATATTAAAAACATGTTTTGCTTTAGCTACAGAATTTCTGAAGTCTATAGCAGAAAATAAACTAGCAATTTTTCCTTTTTTTTTTTTTTTCTTTCCCCCACTTAAATCGTAAGAACTTAACTACACAGTGCAGTACTTTGACAGGTACCTAGTTTGACCAGTATTTTCAACAGGCTTCTTTAAATTCTCTGCACTTGTGTTCAGGACTGGAATTAATTACCAATATTAGCTGGCTGCAGTTCAGCGCAGAGCCTGGCTGGTTTGCAACATGGTTACTATTAACAGGAGCTGAATGAATTTTGCAAACCGAGGTATGTTACAAAATCACAGAAATACTGTTAGTGCTACAAAGGATGAATAAATAGTCCCTGCGAGGGAAGTCTTGTAACTAAACCAGTATGGAGCTTGAATTTGTATGCAGCTGTTACGCAGAGGGCATCATAGGAACTTGGGATGTACACAACGCACAACAGCCCAGAAGATAAAAAATTGTAATTTTTTTGTTGTTCATTCAGACAGAGTGCCTCCTTGCCTGTCTGTACTCGGTCTGACCATCCTGCGGGGTGGTGGATCATGAACAGGTTGTCCCTGTGGTAGTCCCACCGCTCAGCACTGGTGTTCATGCCCTGCAGTACTGTGGTGATTAAGGCGGCGCTGGCATCTCCTGTGTCGTTCCGAGAGCTCCCAGCTTCCACCATCACATGGCCAAAGATTTCTGGGAAATGCCAACACTTGCACAGTGACAGCTTTTCTAACTTTTCCAGGAAGAGGAAGCCAAACAGCTGGTGAGAGATGCCATTGCAGCCGGCATTTACAACGATCTGGGCTCCGGCAGCAACATCGATATCTGTGTTATAAGCAAGAATAAGCTGGATTTCCTCCGTCCGTACGATGTGGCCAACAAAAAGGGGGACAGGTGAGTGTTTCTGAGGCTGTGTGTTATCCGTGCCCTTCCCCACAATTCCTAGTTTCTGTAATACCAAATTTTGTCAGAGCCACTAAATATGAACCCACTGCAAGACAAAGCCAAAAGAAACTCCACAGCTCTGGCCTGTGACTACCAGGTTGCATTTTACTCTATTTCTAGGGGCCCCTTCTAGCCAGTGGCTGGAAAACAAGCCCTATGCAGGATTTTTAAGACAAAAGAGACATTGTTTTGATATTACAGTTTCCTCAAAATTGTCCAGAAATATACTGTGATGTGTTGAAAGGATAGTTTACAGTTAGTAACCAAATACAGTAGTAACAAGTGAGTTGGAATGAAGGTGAGTCCCATTTCATGGATAAATAAACTAAACAACGCTTGTAAGCAGTCACGCGTTCCTCATCAAACAGTCCTCTCACCCATTTCTACTATGTAGAAACTTGTGCTTTTTTTTTCCCCCAGCCCTTTTGTTTGGCAAACCACATCAAAAAGGCACGTTTCTGTCCAGCCCCCCCCTATTTTCCTCTTCTGAGTGTTTGTTCCCTTGAAGCACGTGGAGCTTGTTGTCACCTTTGTGAAGGATTTGCATTGCTCTGTCGTGTGTAATTCTCAATCTCTCACATTCACGTACGGAACGCTCTGGGAACAAGGCTGCATGTCAGTATGTGTTGTGGCTTTGCAATACTGATAGTGTTCAGGATACAGAGGTGCTGAAATTCCGAAACAAGCAAAGTTTGAGCGTTAGGGGAGCTGCAAACTTTAGTTCTCAGCACTCGGTAAGTCGCTCGGTGAACTACACACCTGATGGGTGAAATCGCAGCCCTCAAGGCAGCTACAGGACTCTGCAGTACGTACCTTTACGTTACATGTAGCAAGTTGTACAACTTTTCAATCCACTGCCAAAATAGTAGCATTTGAAGGAATTGCTTTTTTCCTTCTTTTTAAGGCAGATGCTGTGGCCAAGCCACACAGAATTGTGCTGCTCCAGTTGAAGGTCTTTAGATTTCATCGTGTGCAACTCCATAAGCATGACATGTCATTCTGAGCAGAGACTTCTATAGCTGGGCAGCTGCAGAGAGTTTTTATTACACATGTCAAATGAGATTTTGGATTCTACTGTGTAAATGGGTGCAAAGGGTGACAGCTCCTTTAGTCAGATGCAGTTAAGATTTCAGAAGCATGGCTTGATTACAGGCAGTCTTTGTGTTAAATGTTAGCTAACTTTAGTGCAGAAACCCAGCACTAACTGACCGGTAAGATTATTCTAGAGTTGCAAAAAATAAATAAATTTCTTGTTCTTTGAGGGTACACAGCAAGAATGTCCTTATGCTCTAATGAGATCCCACTTATTTCTATAAGGTAGCCTTTCCAGTTGCTTGGTAATTTTTATTTCTTTAAAGACTGTTTCCTAAAAATGCTAGTTTTCCTGAAACATTATCGGTTATTGCAATCAGTTTAGATTTTGCAGCAAGCAACATCTTGCTTCCACTTACTTTGGACTTTTATGGGAAACTTCCAGAGAAAGCTGATCAGTTCTAAAATTTTAAATGAGTTCTCCCATGTAGTACCATGTTCCAGCTTAATTTTCACCTGTTTCTTTAATAGGTATGGTAGATACAAGTGTGAAAAAGGAACTACTGCTGTTCTCACAGAAAATGTAGCACTCCTGGAAATTGAGGTGGTGGATGAAAGTGTACAAACCATGGACACTTCCTGAACCGTTCCGCGCAGCCCTTCTGTCCCCGGAGCCCAGCACTAGTGTTTAGAAGCCTTCCAGCATCGAGAGAAAGATGCACAATAAAGAGTGTTCTGGCTGCTCTCCTCATCGGTGTTTTTCTGTGGTGATTCCTTTGCTGCGGTTCCCTTCCGACACGGTTGGGAAGGTGGGGCTAACGCAGAGCAGAACTGCAGCATCTTCCTTGTCTTTTTATGTGGTGGGCTGTGGGAGGAGGTTGGCCCTTGCCCTGAAAGATCTGTGCTATCATGTGAGAGCGCCAGGCCAAGCATGGCACTGCCACAGGGGGCAGAAACCCACCACGTACAACAGCTGCTTTGGTACTTCACTCTAGGAGCAACAGAGCAAGGGCAGAGCTATTCTCTGTAAGCCCAGTTTGACCAGTTTTACTGTATCCTCAGTTCTGTTCTTGATGGATAGATACCAGATCAAGAAAGGGTATGAAAATGGTGAGCACTGGTGAGCACCTACAGCAGGCTGCTTCTACTTATGTTACTCCAGGGAAATAATACTGTTATCATGACATGTTAGTATTTATTCTTCCCTATTTTTTGTAGCTAGAGACAGGATATGGAGTAGATCCAACTTCCACCCCAGTACACACATTTTCATTTCTTAATCACGACTGAAGACAGCATAATTAACAGTCTAATTGTCTTGTTACTTGCCTGAGTTTTTGTACAAGCTTCCACTTGGACCTTCTCCTAAAATCCTGAGCTTGTACTATTTGAGATAAACTGATTTCCAACTGTTTCATACAGCACCACATAATCCTTCTTTAAAAAAAGAAAAACTGAGAAAAGCCAGCTGAAAATCCACCTGCAGAATTACTTGTTCAGTCAAAAGGGAAGGTGTATTATCTACAGCCCGCTTCAAAAGGTTCACTGGTACCAGTCCCTCGGCTCAGCATCCTGCAACAAACATCTGCAAAAAAAACAGCTTTAGATGTCCACAGTGCAGAGGGTAAGGATGCTCAAGGACGCTCACGCGTAGTTTCTTGAGGCAGTTTATGTAGTCTGTCCATTTCTGATAGCTGCAAGGAACAGTTTCACACATATTTAGGCCTGTTTGCAGTAGAGTGTAGTGGGGTTTTTTTACTTTTTCCTTAACACTGGACTTTTTTTTTTTTTAAACAAAGGTGTTTATTTTGTAAATATTTTTTTTATTTATCTAAAAATGCACAATTGCAAAAAATTACCTTTTGAAATACATTTACTTGTAAGCACTAATAAATTTTATGTAGCAAGAAAGTGACCAGACTTCTCCAGAGCTCAAGTTTAAGCCGAGCTTCCCTGGAAGCCCAAGATCCTTTTCTGTGTTACACCAAGAGAGGCGCAGCACAACCATCCCTCTGAACGTGTAGCTGCCACCACGGCTTAAAGGAAAGCTGCAGTGTAAAAGTGAGAGTCCTCAGTCTTAAATCTCAGCATTGCTAAAGAAGCTGGGTATACATTAAACAAGTTAGCATGGGAATGTTGGAAGCAATTTGGTGCCTCCACTACATTCTCATGCTGATTTGAATTTCCCAAATCTCTCTGGAGAGCAGAGGCTCAACTTTCTGCTGAGAAGACTCAATAAAATGGCACCTTGCATTAATGATACCAACATTAGTCACAGCAATTAATAGCTCTTCTTTGCGACCCTCTATAAATACTTTGAAATTTGATGGGCAGTAGTTGAAGATGGCACTGCAGTTTTCCTTTAAGTAGAGCAAATAAGATTAAAAAAAATCCACTAAAAGCATATATATGTAGGTAACCCTCTAACCCTAATCTTATTTCAAAAAAATTAAGAATCGTATGCTTTTCTTAAGAAAAAACAAAACAAAAACAGGCACAGGCTGCATTTGAACTGTCACACACAAATCTACGTTTGGCACGAGCCGCCGTCGCCCCCGGAAGCAGCACGGTGAGCGTTCCGTGCAGCCCTGCTCCTCGGGCAGGCAAATGAAATGGAAACACTTGAACGTGAATCCACGGTTGTTCCTAAAGCAGTGAATATTTTCCATCGACAGTAATGAAACAAATCATTGATTCAATGAATGAATTTAGTTGGCTGAAAATTTTCATGTAGTTAAAGAAGATGACTCCTTCAAATCAGGTTGAGATTTTATAAAAATTCACATTCTGGAAATGAGCTTTCACAGTAAATAGACGGGGGCTGATCCTTATGTAGAATTGGCTACACAAAGCGTTTTACTACTTTAAAAAAAAATGTCAAGTGTTTAAAACACTGCTTTGCTTAAGTTTTACGTGTAGTACCCAACGTACTACTGAACCTGTAAAGTATCTTCACCAAAATCGAGTTGTTGGCTTAGATAAACACTGGTTTTCAACAAGAACCTGTAGTCTAAAAAGAATCATGCCAAATGGGAAAGTACGTTTAAAGAGAAATTATCTGCAGAAGCAACGCTCGCTTTGGGCTCGCTGTGGCATGATTTTCTTCTTTTCTCCCCAGGTACACGCTGAACTCATCTCACTGGCTGTAGCCAAGTTAACAGATAAATGCATCAGCAAAATACTCTAAATTTTCAATTAAAAAAAAAAAAAGAAATCTTGAAACAAATGTGTTTCCCACCCCCCGACCCTTCCCAGTTCCTAAGTCTGAAGAGGAGGGAATTAATAAAAACACATAAATGGCTGCTTTAAAATATACGAAGTAAAAACTGAATTTGCTATTAACCATTTGCAGAAGAGGCAAAGTAGCAGTTATACAAATTACACAAAATCTACTGCAATTCTTACATTAGTATAAAGTGATTTCACTGAAGGAATTACGTCAATATTTCACATTACAGTTACGATAGAAGGGGGGTGCCCAACGCTCTGACACCCTTGTTAATATCATCTACCCTAGATTACACACGACAGTTTTAAGAAAGGACCCTTAAATGATCTACATCTGTAACATGTTATTTGCCTTAAAAAAAAAAAAAAAAAAAAAAAAAAAAAATCACTTGCAATACCTCACAGAATCTTCACTTTAAAGCATGACCACCTTGTAAGAGTCCTTGTCAATAACCTGCAGAAATAATGGAGCATCCTGCCACGAGTGCTCAGCCCTCCGGCGGTGTGGCTGGGCACCGGGCGGTGCCATCCGAGAAAAAGAATTCAAGTAAGACTAAGCTGTGCTGCTGGGCGAGCGCGGCGGCCGGCTCATGTGCTGGAGGTCCACACGTGCATCTGCTTCGCTATCTGGTGCACGTAACCGACGTCGGGTCTCTGATCTGGGTCGGGGTATATGCACATGCTGACCAGCTCCCGCAGCTGGAAGACAGGGAGAGAGGTGTGGAAACGTGAGCGGAACGGCGGCTGGCTGACTGGGAAAAGCTGCGGGAACGTCTGCCCGACACAGGCACACCTCGTCCCTCGCCCTGTGCCCCCCACCCTACAAAAGGACCATGAAGAACCTTTTCCACAAAACCTTTGGTGTTGAAAACATCAATCTTCCACCCAACCCAGTGGGTTTTACATCACCGTTTGCCATGTGCCCGTGGCATACGTGTGCCAGGAGGCTCCGGGGGGCTCTGCAGAGCGCAACCACCACCCCTGACCTGTTACTCCTGACACAGGGAGTTTCAGGCAGGTGTTTTTTTCAAAATTAAATCTTTTTTCCTGGGAAATGTTTTATTCACTTCCGAGCACCAGAGCAGAGCTGACCAGCACCATCAGACGAGCAGCAGCTCGTGGTCAGCAGGAGCCCGAAGCACAAGATGAGGCAGTGGGGGGGGGGCACAGGAAGGGGGACCCAGTGCAGCGGGACCCCACGACGTGCCCGACGGGCACAGCTGGGCAGCGGCGTGGGCAGAGGGAGGCACCAGTGGGATGGAGATGAAGGAAGGAAAAATGAAATCACTACCAGAAGTCTGATGGAGCTGACAGACAGGGATGGACTTTTTGGTAAAAATGGCCTCTGAGGAAAGGGGGAAGTGGAGGGGGGTTCAAAACCACGTCCTGAGCAGAGCTCTCCTGGACAACTGCGCTGCCCTTCCCACACCAGTCCCTGGTAACGAGCCAGGTCAGGGTTTTAATGTAAGAACAGCACTTGTGTATCTTCAGATACTGGAGCACAGCTGTCAAACACCAGTGTTTCCTAAAAACCTTCCTGAAGAGAGACTGGTCATTGATTATGTTGAATAAATAAAATGCAGAAGGGCTGAAGTCTCCCCCCCCTCCCAACCCTCTTTATTGTGCACATGAAAGATTGTAGCTTTAAATTATACAGACACTGAAAGCTGCTCGTACCCCCGAGGCACCAGGAGAAACAGCCTTGAGCCTCTGATCTTCTTACATCCTCCCAGTAGCCACCGTGCCAATTATTTTAATGGTAATTAAAAGCATGACCATACAGCTATCAGGCACAGGCTTCAGCTGCACGACTGGGTGCCCCCAGCGAGGTCTGCAGCTCCGGAAGGAGCAGGGCCCCGTGCTTCACCTGTCGCTGGGCCTGGGGCACGCTTCCGTGGGGATTCCGAGTGGGACGGAGGCCGAGGCACACTGGCAGCACGGCCGGCGGGGCCCACCCCCCACCCGCCGTTGTTCCGGCCCCCCCCCCCCCCCCAGCCAGGCCATCTCCAGAGCAAACCGCCTCCGCCGCCCAGCCCCTCCTCTCCTAACTGCTACGGTGACTTTGTTTTTTAATTCATCCGAGAGCAGGGGGCTTCTGCCTCTAACTGCTGAGACCCCAGAAGCTTAACACGAACTTCAACTTCAACCATGATCAGACAGCCCACCACTGAACGCCCACAAACAAATTAAAATGCTTCTAAAGCTCTGACCAGAGCCTGTGCTCTCAGTACAATTTGTCCAACCAGTAGTAAACACAGCACTTAAAACACAGTCTGGGAAGTTCCATCCTTTAACGATGACCAAGACAGTGTGGGCACTTCACCATCATCTACAAGGAACTGGTGGACCAAGCCTTGAGAAGCACCACCAACCACTATCTCCAATTGCTAGCAAATTTGTTCCCGAGATGGAAAACTAATCCTGGCTGGAGTTCCAGCTCCTCCTCCTGCTACAAGCAGCACGCTGTTGGTCATGGGAGGGTTCAGACCAGTTAGCCACAAAAAGCTACAGAGAAGAGGAACATCAACAAAATTCCCTTTCCCACCATGAAAGCAGGCATTCTTCAATAAACGTTCTGCCTCGTTCCTCTAAAACAAGGCTGCAACTGAAATATTCATGTGATCAGCAGTCAGCCTGCAGCTGAAGTTTTGCTTTGAGACCACATTACAGAGGTGAAGGAAAGACATGCCAATGGCTCTGGAGCATCTCTGAAAACTCTGGTAGCATGGCACGGCCTAATCCCCACCCCTGCCCTCGGGTGGGAGGAGGTAAAGGCTTTACTGCTTTCCCACATCACTCATGAACCTGCGGCAGTGACAATGTTAAGTGGTCAGAAAGACTCTGCCCTTTCAAACTGAACCAGAGACGTTCACTCCAGAAGGAAAACGTGAGATAAGACTGAGATAACCACCCACCCGCCGGCCGCAGGAAGAACAAATTCTTTCTGGTGCAACTTGCTGTTGCCGGCAGCTGCCCCCACATGCCCCTGCTCTTCAGAAGAAACACTCCTGTCTGCACGGTTTATCCATCCTGCCTGCTGGGAGACACCAGCACACCTTCCCCTTTGGCTACCCGCTCCAAAAGCACCTGAAAACCCAACCTGTACAAGTTCGCACTGAACCGAGCGTTGCTCATGGGAGTCGTGTTCTAATGGTCGCAGAACTGAGGCTCGTCAGGGCTGCAGGCAGAAGCAGCAGCTGACGCAGCGCGATGAGCTCCAGCCCAAGGCACAGCCCTCCTCGGCCCGTCAGGCGCTCCGTGAGCGGTGTGCGAGCACCAGCTGGAGCCTGGTTCTCTGCGACCCGGCGCCTCGGAGCTTTCAACCATCCTTCTCACCCCGCACCGTATCGCCGCACTACACACACGCCTTAGCACTGCCAGAGGGAAGCAAACAGACAGTAATTGTAAAGACAGGAAACACATCTGTCAGCTTACACTA